ATTTTCATAGTGAAAATAGGAGGGCTATGAAAGCCAGGTGGCATGATCATGAAAGTGAGTCATCCCGAGTTATGACTCCTCTTCTCAACATGATGCAAAGAGCTTTACTCGTTTTTTAGGACCACTCTCTCCTCTCCCCCTTAGAAAATTCCACCAGTGAAGTTAAAGCAAGTCCTACCAAGAAGGTCCTTGACTTGGATGAGGAAATCCCCACGTGTGTGGAGGATTAAGATTGCTTTGAGGATATTCAAGATGTATATGATCAGTTGTATCCGTAACCCCTCAAGCAACATTAGATGGTGGTTTCCTTTAGTGGTCGGGTCAACTCAAGTGAAGAAGGGACGAGAGGCCATCAAGTGGACTTGGTCAAGTCCAAGGCCTAAATATCTAGCTTAGAAGATGAGAACAAGTCTCTCGCTGATCTAATGCTTTTCAAGTCTAAGAAGAATTTTTGAGTCAAAATGTGTCAAACAAGATAAAGATCTTCATGAATCAACTGAGCTCTGTAATAGACTTTCCCAATGCAATGCAAAGTTTGAGAGGATGTTATCTATGGGAAACATTGTACGTGATAAGCGTGGTTTAGGCTATCCGAAAGAACACACCCACACTCCCTCCAAGACCGTGTTTGTGAAGGGCATTACCAACCCATCAACCCCACAAGTTGGCACAAGCTCAAAATTTGTTAAGAATGGTAAGGGTAGGAATTCAAAGAATAAGGTAGCTAAAGAAGCCCAAATCATTGGTGTGTGCATACAGAGGGGCAGTGGGCATGCCCATAATTGCCCGAGGCCATCACGAACCTCACGGCAGGAAGATCCAATTGAAGATTCACCAAACGTCAGAGAAGGACTTTCAACGGAGAGACATAGCGAGGAAAGGAGCTTCTAACCATGGAATTGGTTGGGATATGACTCCCGAGTTCTTGCATGTTGACTTGGAAAGTGATGGATCAAGCATTGTGGAACTAGGCGAGGTTCCCCGTGGTTTTTGCCCATGGGGGTTTCCGCCCCTCAACAAATAGCAATTGTGCTTTACTTTCTGTTCCACACAATTTCATTCGTTAGCACACAAATGCACCCTGTGTTTGTCGATTTCATTGTACGAATATCTTCGAACCGTAGCAGTGCAATTTGGTTTGTTGGGAAGGGCCGGAGATAGAAATGAGTGAATCACTTGCATATTAATTAAAATCAATGTTCATGGTTCAAAGGATTTGTGGTGACGAGAAGGGTTCTCACATCCATTGCTTCATATTTGTTAGAATTGATAATTGTGGTAGACATAGGTTTTAATTTGTAATCAATTTGGGGTGAAATTGAAAACCCTATTCACCTTCGCTAGGTATAGTGTCTTGGACTCCACGTGTATAACCGTGGGGAAAGATCCATTGTGGGTTCACCCTCTAGGAACCATAATTGATGTAAGAGCGTGGTTGCCCCATAGAGCTTAAGTCACTAAAAGTTGACATATCTATTTTATTCTAACTTGCCTTGTTTACCTTCATGAAATCTATCATAACAACTAGTTAATTTTGGATGGATGCTCAACAGGATGGTGGTTCAATTGGAAGACCACCACTTTTCGATGGATCGAGCTTTGGATGTTGGAAAGCTCGTATGGGAGTGTTTCTTAAATCCATTGTGGAGCGAGTGATGTTGACTCCGCAAGATGGTTGGAGGCCTCCCACCCGCACCACGCATGTTGAAAGTGGTGAAGTGGAGGTTGAAGTAAAATCATCGAAGGTATGGGCCAGAAATGTGAAATGAGTCCACAGGGTGAAAGTCAAAAGGATGGAATGCGATACGCAACGCCGCGACACCTAATGTGTTCTGAAAGATTGCAAATCGCAAAACTTCAACGGAAGCGTGCGGCATCTTGGTTGTTTCCCCTGGAGGGACTTCCCTGGTGAAGACATCTCAATTGCAAAGTAGACCTCTTAGTTCAAGAGTTCGACGATGTGAGATGATGAAACAATTAGTGAGTTTGTATGCTAAATTACGTGATACTTTAAATTAATCATTCGCATTAGGTACTAATGCGATGTGGCCATCAAGTGGAAGACCTTGAGATATCTAACCGATCGACTTTCGTGTTAAGGTCCCATACTTGGAGACAAGTGTCAATAGGGAGTTGGTGTTATTGGAAGACCTAGTAGGGTCTATCTTGTCCTTTGAGATGAACCTTTTTCCATCCCATAAAGCGAGCTAAGGTCATGGCCTTGAGCTAAACTTAAGAAGGAGGGAAATTGCGAGTCATCCCGATTTGGAGAGGAGGACACATGCCTTACTGTAGAGAAGTTCAAAAAATATTTCTAGACTAGTTTTGTTGACTCCTCAAGGTTGTAGAACTAGTACTCCTAAAAAGGAGGAGAAAAACTCTCGAAAAGAAGTTGAGGGAAAGGTGGCAAGGTGTCCAATGCTTTGAATGTCAAGGATTCGAACATATTGCGTGGGAATGCCCCAATTGGAAGATGATATATTTCCATTGTGAAAATAGGAGGGCTATGACAGCCAGGTCGCATGATCATGAAAATGAGTCATCCCTCAGGGATGACTCCTCTTCTCAAGACGATGCAAAGAGCTTTGCTCGTTTTATACGACCACTCTCTCCTTTCCCCCTGGAAAAAATTCCACCAGTGAAGTTAAAACGAGTCCCACCACAGAGGTCCTTAACTTGGATGATTATAAATCCCCACGTGTGTGGAGGATTAAGATTGCTTTGAGGATATTCAAGATGTACATGGTCAGTTGTATGTGTAACCCCTCAAGCAACATGAGAAGGTGCTCTCCTTGAGTAGTCGGGTCTACTCAAGTGAAGAAGGGATGAGAAGCCATCAAGTGGACCTGGTCAAATCCATGGCCTAAATATCTAGCTTACAAGATGAGAACAAGTCTCTCGCTGATCGAATGCGTGTGAAGTCTAAGAAAAATCTTGAGTAAACCTGTGTCAAACATTATAAAGATCTTCGCGAATCAATTGAGCTCTCTTATAGACTTTCCCAATGTAATGCGAAGTTTGAGAGGATGTTATCCATGGTAAAAGTGTAGGAGATAAGCGTGGTTTAGGCTATCCGAATGAACACACCCACACTTCCTCCAAGACCGTGTTTGTGAAGGGCATTACCAACCAATCAACCCCACAAGTTGGCACAAGCTCCAAATTTGTTAAGAATGGTAAGGGTAGGAATTCAAATAATAAACTTGATAAAGAAGGCCAAATCATTGGTGTGTGCATACTGAGGGGCAGTTGGCATGCCCGTAATTGCTCGAGGCCTTGACGAACCTCACGGCCGGAAGATCCAATAGAAGATTCACCAAACGTCGGAGAAGGACTTTCGACAGGGAGGCATAGCGAGGAAAGGAGCATCTAACCATGTAATTGGTGGGGATATAACTCCAGAGTTCTTGTATGTTGACTTGGAAAATGATGGATCAAGCTTTGTGGAACTTGGAGAGGTTCCCCGTGGATTTTTCCCATGGGGGTTTTCGTTCCTCAACAAATAGCAAGTGCGCTTTACTTTCTGTTGCACACAGTTTCATTCGTTAGCACACAAATGCTGTGTGTTTGTCGATTTCATTGTACGAATATCTTCGAACCTTAGCTGTGAAATTGGGTTTGTTGGGATTGGCGGAGATAGAAATGAGTGAATTATTTGCTTATTGATTAAAATCAATTTCACGGTTCAAAGGGTTTGTGGTGACAAAAAGGGTTCTCACATCCACTGCTTCATATTTGTTAGAATAGACGATTGGGGTAGACATAGGTTTTAATTTGTAATCAATTTGGGGTGAAATTGAAAACCCTATTCACCCTGGCTAGGTATGTTGTCTTGGACTCCACGTGTATAACCGCGAGGAAAGATCCATTGTGGGTTCACCCTCCAGGAACAACAATTGATATGAAAGCGGGGTTGCCAAGAGAACTTAAGCCACTAAAAGTTGACATATCTATTTTTTTTCTAACTTGCCTAGCTTACCATCATGAAATATATCATTGCAACTTGTTAGTTTCGATTGGATTCTCAATAGGAGGGTGGTTTAGTGAGTGGACCACCACTGTTCGATGGATCGAGCTTTGGATGTTCGAAAGCTCGTACGGGAGCATTTTTAACTCCACTGATGAGTGATTGAGGTGACTCCCCTAGAGGGTTGGAGGCCTTCCTCCCCACCACTCAGGTTGAAAGTGGTGAAGTGGTGGTTGAAGTAAATCATCGAAGGTATGGACTAAAAATGTGGATGAGTCCGCCAGGTGAAAGTTAAAAGGATGGAATGCGATATGCAACGCCGCGACACCTAATGGGTTCTGAAAGATTGCTAATTGCCAAACTTCAGCGGAAGCGTGCGGCATCTTGGTTGTTTCCCATGGAGGGACTTCCTTGGTGAAGACGTCTCAACTGCAAAGTAGACCTCTTAGTTCGAGAGTTCGAGGATGTGAGATGATGAAACAATTAGTGAGTTGTATGCTAAATTGCGTGATATTGTAAATTAATCATTCGCATTAGGTACTAGGGTTGACGATGTGGCCATCAAGTGGAAGACCTCGAGATTTCTACCCAAGAGACTTTCGTGTTAAGGTCATATACTTGGAGACAAATGTCAACACGGAGTTGGTGTAATTGGAAGACCTAGTAGGGTCTATCTTGTCCTTTGAGATGAACCTTCTTCCATTCCTTAAAGCAATCTAAGGTCATGGCCTTGAGCTCAAATTAAGAAGGAAGAGGGAAAATCTGGGTCATCCTGATTTGGAGAGGAGGACCAAGTCCTTGCTGTAAAGAAGTTCAAGAAATATTTCAAGACTAGATATGTTGACTCCTCGAAGTCAAAGGGAAAGCCATGGAGACGTAGTACTCCTAAAAAGTAAGAGAAAAAACTCTAGAAAAGAAGTTGAGGGAAAGGGATCAAGGTGTCCAATGCTTTGAATGTCAAGGATTCGGACATATTGCGTGGGAATGCCCAAATTGAAAGATGATAGATTTTCATAGTGAAAACAGGAGGGCTATGAAAGCCAGGTGGCATGATCATGAAAGTGAGTCACCCTTGAGTGATGACTTCTCTTCCCAAGATGATGCAAAAAGCTTTACTCGTTTTGTAGGACCCCTCTCTCCTCTCCCCCACCGAGAAAATTCCACCAGTGAAGTTAAAGCAAGTCCCACCACGAAGGTCCTTGACTTGGACGAGGAAATCCCCACGTGTATGGAGGATAAAGATTGCTTTGAGGATATTCAAGATGTATACGATCAATTGTATACGTGTGACTCCTCAAGCAACAAGAGGCCATCAAGTGGACTTGGTCAAGTCCAAGGCCTAAATATCTAGCCTACAAGATGAGAACAAGTCTTTCGCTGATCGAATGCTTGTCAAGCGTAAGAAGAATATTGAGTCAAAATGTGTCAAACAGGATAAAGATCTCCGCGAATCAACTGAGCTCTCTAAAAGAATTTCCCAATGCAATGCGAAGTTTGAGAGGATGTTATCTATGGGAAAAAGTGTATGTGATAAGCATGGTTTAGGCTATCGGAATGAACACACCCACACATCCTCCAAGACAGTGTTTGTGAAGGGCAATACTGTTGGCACAAGCTAAAAATTTGTTAAGAACGGTAAGGGTAGGAATTAAAAGAATAAGGTTGCTAAAGTAGCCCAAATCATTGGTGTGTGCATATGGGGGGCAGTTGACATGCCCGTAATTGCTCGAGGCCTTGACGAACCTCGCGGCAAGAATATCCAATTGAAGATTCACCACGCGTAAGAGAAGGGCTTTCGGTGGAGAGACATAGCCGGGAAAGGAGCTTCTAACCATGGAATTGGTTGGGATATAACTCCCGATTGCATGTTGACTTGGAAAGTGATGGATCAAGCTTTGTGGAACCTGGCGAGGTTCCTCGCAGTTTTTCCCATGGGGGTTTTCGCCCCTCAACAAATAGCAAGTGTGCTTTACTTTCGGTTGCGCATAGTTTCATTTGTTAGCACACAAATGCACCCTGTGTTTGTCGATTTCATTGTACGAATATATTCAAACCGTAGCTGTGCAATTGGGTTTGTTGGGATGGGCCGGATAAAGAAATGAGTGAATTACTTGCATATTAATTAAAATCGACATTCTTCGTTCAAAGGGTTTGTGGTGACGAAGAGGATTTTGACATCCATTGCTTCATATTTGTTAGAATAGATAATAGCGATAGACATAGGTTTTAATTTGTAATCAATTTGGGGTGAAATTGAAAACCCTATTCACCTTCGCTAGGTATGGTGTCTTGGACTCCACGTGTATAACCGCGTGGAAAGATCCATTGTGGGTTCACCCTCCAGGAACAACAATTGATATCAGAGTGTGGTTTCCCGGAGAACTTGAGTCACTAAAAGTTGACATATCTATTTTTTTCTTACTTGCCTGTTTACCTTCATCAAATCTATCATTACAACTAGTTAGTTTTGAATGGATTCTCAACAGGAAGGTGGTTCAATTGGATGACAACCACTCGTGGATGGATCGAGGGATGGATATTGGGAAGTTTGTATGGGAGCGTTTCGTAAATCCATGGATGACCGAGTGATGTTTACTCCCCAAATGGGTTGGAGGCCTCCCACCTCTACCACGCAAGTTGAAAGTGGTGAAGTGGTGGTTGAAGTAAAATCATCCAAGGTGTGGACTAAAAATGTGAATGAGTTCGTAGGGTGAAAGTCAAAAGGATGGAATGCGATATGCAACGCCGCGACACCTAATGGGTTCTGAAAGATTGCTGATTGCCAAACTTCAGCGGAGGCATCTTAACTGCAAAGTAGACCTCTTAGTTCAAGAGTACGAGGACGTGAGATGATGAAACAATTAGTGAATTGTACGCTAAATTGCGTGATACTGTAAATTAATCATTCGCATTGGCTACAAAGGTTGACGATGTGGCCATCAAGTGGAAAATCTTGAGATCTCTACGCGAGAGACTTTCGTCTTAAGGTCACATACTTGGTGACAAGTGGCAACCCGGAAAGACCTAGTAGGGTGTATCTTGTCCTTTGAGATGAACCTTCTTCCATCCCTTAAAGCACGCTAAGTTCATGGCCTTGAGCTGAACTTAAGAAGAAAGAGGGAAAATCTGAGTCATCTGGATTTGGAGAGGAGGACGTAGGCCTTGTTGTAAAGAAGTTCAAAAAATACTTCAAGACTAGTTATGTTGAGTTCTCGAGGTCAAAGGGAAAGCCATGTAGACGTAGTACTCCTAAAAAGGAAGAGAAAAAACTTTGGAAAATAAGTTGAGGGAAAGGGGGCAAGGTGTCCAGTGCTTTGAATGTCAAGGATTCGGACATATTTGCGTGGGAATGCCCAAATTGAAAGATGATGGATTTTCATAATGAAAACATGAGGGCTATAAAAGCCAGGTGGCATGATCATGAAAGTGAGTCATCCTTGAGTGACGACTCCTCTTTTCAAGATGATGCAAAGAGCTTTACTTGTTTTGTAGGACCACTCTCTCCTTTTCCCCCCTGAGAAAATTTCACCAGTGAAGTTAAAAGGAAGTCCCACCACAGAGGTCCTTAACTTGGACGGGGAAATCCCCACGTGTGTGGACGATAGAGATTGCTTTGAGGATATTCAAGATGTATATGATCAATTGTATATGTGTGACTCCTCAAGCAACAAGAGGCCATCAAGTGGACTTGGTCAAGTCCAAGCCCTAAATATCTAGCTTAGAAGATGAGAACAAGTCTCTCGCTGATCGAATGCTCGTCAAGTCTAAGAAGAATCTTGAGTCAAAATGTGTCAAACAAGATAAAGATCTTCGTGAATCAGCTGAGTTCTTAATGGACTTTCCCAATGCAATGCAAAGTTTGGGAGGATGTTATCTATGGGAAAAAGTGTAGGTGATAAGCGTGGTTTTAGGCTATCCGAATCAACACACCCACATTTCCTCCCAGACCGTGTTTGTGAAGGGCATTACCGACCCATCAACCCCACAAGTTGGCACAAGCTCAAAATTTGTTAAGAATGGTAAGGGTAGGAATTCAAAGAATAAGGTTGCTAAAGATGCCCAAATCATTGGTGTGTGCATATGAGGGGCAGTTGGCATGCCCGTAATTGCTCGAGCCCTTGACGAACCTCACGGCAGCAGGAAGATCCAATTGAAGATTCACCACGCGTCGGAGAAGGGCTTTCGACGGAGAGACATAGCAAGGAAAGGAGCTTTTAACCATGGAATTGGTTGGGATATAACACCTGAGTTCTTGCATGTTGACTTGGAAAGTGATGGACCAAGCTTTATGGAACCTGGCGAGGTTCCCTCGGTTTTTCCCATGGGGGTTTTTGCCCCTCAACAAATAGCAAGGGTGCTTTACTTTCTGTTGCGCACAGTTTCATTCGCTAGCACACTAATGCATCCTGTGTTGGTCGATTTCATTGGATGAATATCTTCGAACCGTAGCTGTGCAATTGTGTTTGTTGGGGTGGGCCGCTGTTAGAAATGAGTGACTTTCTTGCATATTAATTAAAATCAACGTTCATGGTTCAAAGGGTTTGTGGTGAGGAAAAGGGTTCTCACATCCGTTGCTTCATATTTGTTAGAATAGATAATTGTGGAAGACATAGCTTTTAATTTGTAATCAATTTGGGGTGAAATTGAAAACCCTATTCACCCTCGCTAGGTATAGTGTCTTGGACTCCACGTTTATAACCGCGTGGAAAGATCCATTGGGGGTTCACCTTCCAAGAACAACAACTGATATCAGAGTGTGGTTACCCGAAGAACTTAAGTCACCAAAAGTTGACATATCTTTTTTTTTCTAACATGCCTGGTTTACCTTCATCAAATCTATCATTAAAACTAGTTAGTTTTGAATGGATTCTAAACAGGAAGGTGGTTCAATTGGATGACTGCCACTCTTCGATGGATCGAGGTATGGATATTGGAAAGCTCGTACGGGAGGGTTTCTTAAATCCGTTGATGACCAAGTGATGTTGACTCCCCAAGAGGGTTGGAGGCCTCCCATCCCCACCACGCAAGTTGAAAGTGGTGAAGTGGTGGTTGAAGTAAAATCATCCAAGGTGTGGACTAAAAATGTGAATGAGTCCGTAGGGTGAAAGTTAAAAGGATGGAATGCGATATGCAACGCCGCGACACCTAATGGGTTCTGAAAGATTGCTAATTGCCAAACTTCAGCGGAAGCGTGCGGCATCTTGGTTGTTTCCCATGGAGGGACTTCCTTGGTGAAGACGTCTGAACTGCAAAGTAGACCTCTTAGTTCGAGAGTTCGAGGATGTGAGATGATAAAACAATTAGTGAATTGTATATTAAATTGCGTGATACTGTAAATTAATCATTCGCATTAGGTACTAAGGTTGACGATGTGGCTATCAAGTGGAAAACCTTGAGATCTCTACTCAAGAGACTTTCGTGTTAAGGTCACATACTTGGAGACTAGTGTCAACATGGGAAGACCTTGTAGGGTCTATCTTGTCCTTTGAGATGAACCTTCTTCCATCCCTTAAAGCAAGCTAAGGTCATGGCCTTGAGCAAAACTTAAAGAGAAGGAGGGAAAATCCAAGTCCTCCCGATTTGGAGAGGAGGACCCAGGCCTTGCTGTAAAAAAGTTCTAAAAATATTTCAAGACTTGTTATGTTGACTCCTCAAGGTCAAAGGGAAAGCCTTGTAGACGTAGTACTCCTAAATAGGAAAGAAAAACTCTGGAAAAGAAATTTAGGGAAAGGAGGCAAGGAGTCCAAAGCTTTGAATGTCAAGGATTCGGACATATTGCGTGGGAATGCCCAAATTGAAAGATGAAAATCGGAGGGGCTATGAAAGGCAGGTGGCATGATCATGAAAGTGAGTCATCCTCGAGTGATGACTCCTCTTCTCAAGATGATGCAAAGAGCTTTACTCGTTTTGTAGGACTGATGTGGGACCCGCCGAAATAACGAGATCGAACAACGAAAAGAACCCTAGATCGTTTTACGATCGGATTTTAGGGTAGACCTTGACCCGTTTTTTACGACAAACAAGAACCTTGGTATATAGACCTCAACCCGTTGTTTGTGAAACAAGAACCTCGGTATAAAGGAAGACGCCGCAAACGGTGTGGAAACCCGATTGATAAGTCGTTGGTGAACGCCTCGGAGAATTCCGATAAGTTTGTTTAGTTCTTCGAAGAACTGAAGAGATAACACTCTCAAAATTTGCTAAATAATGATCTCCATTTTCATTGATTTGAATGCCTATTTATGGGCTGGTCATTACAAGGATTATGAAACTTCCTAAAATACCTATCTTATTTAAGAAATATCTCTTACTTGTGGGTAAACAAATATCTCTTACTTTCCTACGACTCATAAAGAAAAAAAGAAAGACATTCAGCCCATTAAATGACTGATCACATGCCTAAATAGAAAAAGGAAAGTACTTGGCATACAAGCCTTACAATTAGACCCTAAAAAGAGTGAATAGTGCACGGTTACTGTAGCGTGAACAGTGCAGTGCTAAAATAACTACGAAAACCCTAATTCATAAGAAATAAAACATGTGGGCTAAGCATCCTCAAGCCCACTTATTAGTAATTCTAATCCTTTAGACAAATTGGAGGCCTTAACAACAAGAAGCCAATTTAAGCTTAGCCTTAGCCCCGAGCTGGGTTCTTCTAGAGCTTGAATCATGTTGATGAATCTTTGTTGCCCAAGTGGATCATTGTCAATGGGCCTCCACGAACTTGCTTGATTCCTTGCCTCTTGAATTAGTCCATTGAGTACCTCTTTAAACTTTCTTGCTCGTGCTCTCGTAACCGGCCCACTTGGAACTTGAACTAAATCCCTTGAAGTTGTGTTATGATTTGCATCATTCCCCTCCTCTTGAAAAGGATTTGCCCACAAATCATCACCTACATCAAAAGGACTCAAATCAGTGACATTAAATGTAGCACTCACATTGTACTCACCAGGTAAATCTAACTTGTAGGTGTTGTCATTGATGTGCTTTTGGACTTGGAAAGGACCATCTCCTCTTGGAAGCAATTTGGAACATCTTTGCGCCGGAAATCTCTCTTTTCTCATATGCTGCCAAACCCAATCTCCGGGCTCCAAAATCAGCTTGTGACGTCCCTTGTTGGCTTGTTTTGCGTATTGCTCCATTCTCATTCAATGTTGAGTCTTGCTTTCTCATGAATCTGCTTGACAAAGTCAGCTTTCTTCTTGCCATCTAAATTAATTTGCTCAGTCAAAGGTAAAGGAGATAAATCCAATGGGGCTATAGGATTAAATCCATAGACAATTTCAAATGGTGAAAATCTAGTAGCAGAATGAATGGATCGGTTATAAGCAAACTCAACATGTGGTAAACATTCTTCCCATGTTTTGATGTTCTTTTTAATGATTGCCCTCAATAAAGTAGACAAAGTCCTATTTACTACTTTAGTTTGATCATCAGTTTGTGGATGACAAGTAGTAGAAAACAATAGTTTAGTACCTAGCTTAGACCACAAGGTCTTCCAAAAATAGCTCAGGAACGTAGCATCTCGATCTGAAACAATTCTTCTAGGCATGCCATGTAATCTCACAATCTCTCTGAAGAACAAGTCAGCAACATGCGAAGCATCATCCGTTTTGTGACATGGAATGAAGTGTGCCATCTTAGAGAATCTATCCACAACCACAAAAATTGAATCTCTCCCACGCTTAGTCCAAGGCAATCCTAACACAAAGTCCATTGAAATATCAGTCCATTGAGCTGCACTCTGGATTTAGCTTGCCTACATGTGATACATCTACCACAAATTCTCTCGACATCTTTTTCGATGTGAGGCCAATAGAAGTGTTCTTGCAACACAGCTAAAGTATTTGCAACACCAAAATGTCCCATTAATCCCCCACCATGAGATTTCTACATTAACAACTCCCTCAAGGAACAATTAGGCATGTATAACTTATTCTCTCGAAATAGGAATCCCTCAAGCCTAAAGAACTTACCACTACTGGTTTTCTCAGAAGCCCGGTATTCCTCACAAAATTCGTGATCATCAGCGTATAAATTTTTAATGTGCTCAAAACCAAGGAATTTTGCATCAAGTGTTGAGAGTAATGCATACCTGCGAGAAAGTATATCAACGACCACATTCTCCTTACCTTGCTTATACCGGATGCCGTATGGGAATGTCTCAATGTACTCCACCCATCATGCATGCTTTTTATTTAGCTTGTGCTGGCCCTTCAAGTGTTTCAAGGACTCATGATCGGTGTGAATCACAAATTCCTTAGGCCATAGGTAGTGTTGCCAAGTCTATAAAGCTCTAACCAATGCATACAATTCCTTATCGTAAGTTGGGTAGTTTAAGGCTGCCCCGCTTAGTTTCTCGTTGAAGTAAGCAATTGGTTGTCCTTCCTGCATAAGCACTGCTCCTATGTCAATACCTGAACCATCACATTCAATCTCAAACGTTTTCAAAAAGTTAGGTAAAGACAATAAGGGGGCGTTGGTCAGCTTCTCTTTGATTAATTGAAACGCCTTTTCTTGTTCTTCACCCCATCTAAATCCAACGTTCTTCTTGATCACTTCGGTAAGTGGTGCGGCTATGCTACTAAAGTCCTTCACAAACTGCCGATAGAAACTAGCAAGTCCATGAAAACTTTGAACATTACTTACACTTGTGGGACTCTGCCATTCTTAGATTGCACGTACCTTCTCTTCGT